ATCAATTACGTGCCTCCGCAGACACTGGCTTCTCCTGCATTTCTTCATCAATAAATGGAGCACATCTAGGTGATATTGTTCCTTACCACCTAATGACCCATGTGTGGCATCTGAAATGTCTGGTACTTTTAGAGTTCTAACTTTTTCCTAAATTTGTGGACCATCTGCAGCTTTCCTATCTTCAACAGTTTCAACAATCCTTGAAGTCTCTTCCTTTTCAAGTGGCAATACAAGCAATTGCTATCTTTTTGAGGTAGTAGATTATGTGGAGAAAGGACGCGTAGCCTGTGGATTCCACGACTCAATATCTAAAATAAAAAATTGTATCACAGGAGAGAATGATTATTGCAATTGTAAAACAAAATATTAACTCAACATAGAACATACCTTGGAATTGAAATATACTCCTACCATTTTCACAACAGCTTTTATTGGACTCTAAAATTCTGTGAATAGTTTCCCTTACTAGCTAGGCAAAAGATCATCCACAAGAATATTTGTGGCCCACAGACACACAAGGATATAAAAATGATTTGATCTCTTATACCTATGAAAAATACAGAAATCAGAAAGATATAAGAAAAACAAGCATTTCTAGAACACTTATCATATCTGCATAAAACGAAATTGCAAGCCTTCATAGCTGCATAAAAAGAAACCCCAAGCCTTTCTTTCCCCAATACTGACTCAAGTTCCCTCATGCTACCTGTTTCCATAAAAGAGAAGGAAAAGAAGAAAATTTTGTAATTGAGATGGCATACCATAATGATATGTCTAAAAATCAACGCCATTGTGGAAATGAAGTATTGTTCGTGACTACACCAACAGATATCTTACTTTCACAAAAGTTTTCAAAACAACACTTGCTTGTAAGCACAGCATTTTTCATTTCTTTTTTACACAAGGGGGCAATGTAGCTTTGGTGGAATATCACCAACAGAACACATTGATGGCATTTTCTCAATCTCTTTCTCAAATGTAGGCTTGCGATAAACCCCAGTTATAATGTATCATAGAAAATAGTAAATAATATAAATTAGTTTTCAAGGGAAAAACTTGCTCATTTGGCACTGTTGTCGGGGAATAACTAATTTAATTTTAAGTTAGTAGTTTATATTAAGTTCATTTTTATTTTATTTTTTTGTTCATTTTATGCTATAATTGAGATACATAATCTTTTCTTCTTTCACTCTTTGCAAGCCTCTATCGATTTTATGCAAGTTCCTAACACAATCGAAATTCTCTTTATAGATTCTGAGATTGAAAGTACTATCAAGTAACGTAGAAGATAATAAAGAAGAGGTAGGATAATGGTTGGGAATCAAAATCAAGTTCAAGATGTAGTACATGAAGCAGCACTATCAATTCAGCAACCACCTCCTGCTATGCCAGTATTAGTCGGGGATTATGTTAATTCAATGCCAACTTCAGTTCAACCTCGGATCATCTACTCGCTCTTTGGATAGACTAACTTCCACATCCGATCAGATATCATAAATCTCTTCCTTAATCATCAGGACATCAGGTTCTATGGAAAAGCCACAGATTTTGACCTATGGTTGATTATACCCTTAAAGTTTTGATTATAACAAATAAGCTAATCTCGTTTGCTAACAAGTTGAATTCAAGTGAGTATATTTGTTTCAAAGCATATGATGGAGAATTGATCGATGGTCGTCAAAGGATCAAAAGCTATCATCACAAATCGGACTTATGAAATAGATCAACATCGAAGAATTTAATAGACAAACATCGGAGGAAGATCAAAAACTTGATTTCTCAGACAAAATACAAATGAACTAACATTTTGATATTTGGTTATGAATGTTTAAGCTCAAAATCCTTCCTCTATGCATTAAAAATAATTTTTTGTGTATTAAAGTCATTCGAATACAACGTTTTGATCAAATATAAAAATAGTTGTTAAAAAGATATTTTAGCTTGAAAAATATATTTTTATCTTGAAAAATTAGTTAAAAATATCTTCAAAAAGTCAATGCCTTTCAAAATATTCAAATTGGGTCAAACGGGAGCGAAAACGCGAATAGATCGAAAATTATCGGTACTCAACTGTCACACTCCCATTCACATAGATAACCATACCTGACAATACATTAACCTGTGTGAGAATGAAATTGATGACTAGACTTAGACATAGAATTTCATATATACATTTTTTTCCACCTAATAAAATAAAATAAGCATCTAATTATGTCCCTATTTGTTAACTTCTAATCATCTGTGACGATCATATGGTCTATCAAAACTAAAGATCATATAACCCTAATATTACACATATGTTCTAAGGTCATAAACATATCTACAGGCCGTTTCAAAAGTTATACAATACAGGATCCCCAAAATAGAACATAATAGACTATAAACTCAAAACGACGGCCCACAAAATAACTCTACAGGTCGTCATCCATATATATCGATGTAACGCCCCGAATTCTCGGAACCCAAAGCATTAAAAATAATCAATCTTTCTTTGATTCGACCCCTTTGATGTTAACCAAAGTAATTTGTAAATTAGAAAGTTTTTGGGTTTTGAAAATATGTAAAAATATAATGGGAAGTAGTTATTCATATAAACTTATAAAATTATGGCGAAATTTGGTTTTGGAAAATATTTGGAGGCGATTCAGCAATTTCAGATTGAACAACAACGGAAGAAAAAAATATTTGGCCTGGCAAATGTTTGTTAAATTTATGAAATTTTTATAGGGACTAAAGTATTCATTTATGTACCACATATAAAAATTTTGGGGTTTGATGATAACGATTGAAGCATGAAAATATTGCTCGAACCTGCTGGATAGAAAACCCGAATTTGAAACGACGCAGTTTACCAAAATGGACATAACTTTTTCTCTAGATAATGTTTTAAGGAAATTCCAAAGGCTACCATTAGAAGACTAATAGACCTTTCAAATGACATTAATTTCACTCTAAAATATGCAGCATAGCCCAAATTATACCATTTTCAAATGGAAGACAGAATCTGGAATTATAATCACCAGTGAATAAACTTCGGTCATAGACATACCAACGTTTTCAAATTATGGTTGACATGAATAGCATATAAAACTGAGCGAGACAGATGTTTAAACATCTTTAAAAGTACCATCTAAGTATTCATAATACGTTCATAACGATTCAAGTACTTGGATAGTTCGTTCAGATTGTCCGTCAGTCTGAGGATGGTATGCAGTACTAAATGTTAACTTGGTACCCATAGCTTTCTGAAGGTTTATCCAAAACTTCAAAGTAAACCTTGGGTCTCTGTCCGATACAATAGAAATTGGAACACCATGGATGGGATGTTACACTGGGAATGGTTAGGATAGCTCAGCTGATATTCAACTTTTACTTGTTGACAAACCATACATTTGGACACAAACAAAGCTATATTCCCCTTCATATTTCTCCACCAAAATCTATCACACAAATCTTTATACATTTTAGTTCCACCTGGGTCTGCGACATAAGGACTAGAATGAGCTTCAGTCATAATCTCATTCTTCAATACTTCATCCTTTGGCATGCACAATCGACCCTTAAACATCAAGGCTTTGTCTTCGGCTATTTAAAATCCTTTTCTCTTCTCAGTTCCCACATTAGCCCTGATCTTTTCCCAAAAGGGATCATCTTTCTGAGAAACCACTATTATGTCCTTGAGTGTCGGCATCACAGTAAAACTTGTTAATATCATCGATGTCCTTACTGGTGACATTAAAACTTCAATTTTCATGTTCTCAAAATCTCTCATTAAATGATCCTGCCTTGTACAAAGTACTGACAACTATCCCATGTTCTTTCTACTCAACGCATCAGCGACTACATTGGCCTTACTCGGATGGTACAAGATAGTGAAGTCATAATCCTTTACCAATTCTAACCACCGTTGTTGTCTCATATTTAACTCTTTCTGGATGAAGAAGTATTTGAGACTCTTGTGGTCGGTATAAATCTCACACTTGCTTCCGTATAGGTAGTGGCGCCAAATCTTCAAGGCATGCACTACCGTTGCTAGTTCGAGATCATGTGTGGGGTAATTCTGTTCATATTGTTTCAATTGCCTCGAAGCATAAGCAATGACTTTCCCATGTTGCATCAAAACACATCCTAAACCAAGCTTGGATGCATCACTATAAATCACAAAACCTTCCGAACCGTCTGGAATAGTCAACACTGGTGCAGATACGAGTTTATCCTTTAACTCTTGGAAACTTTGTTCGCATTTCTCTGACCATACAAATTTAGTATCCTTCCGAGTAAATTGTGTCATAGGACTTGCTATCTTGGAAAATCCTTCTATAAATCTTCGATAATAACCGGCTAAACCCAGAAAACTCTACGCTTCTCCAACATTTGTAAGTTTCAGCCAATTGGTCACAGCCTCAATTTCGGACTGATCCACTTAATTCCTCATGATGAAACAGTATGGCCTAGAAATCCAACTCGATCTAGCCAAAATTCACATTTCTTGAATTTGGCATATAACTTTTCCTCACGCAGTGTTTCTAAAACTATCCTCAGACGTTCTTCATGTTGATGAGAATATCTCGAGTATATCAATATGTCATCAATAAATACGATGACAAACATGTCCATATATCCATAGAACACTCTATTTATCAAGCCCATAAACACCGCAGGGGAATTCGTCAAGCCAAAGGGCATCATTGTAAACTCATAATGCCCATATCGGGTCCTAAATGCCGTCTTTGGTATGTCAATCGACTTAATCCTCAACTGATGATAGCCTGACCTTAGATCAATTTTCGAGAACACGGATGCACCCTTCAACTGATCAAATAGGTCATCAATCCTAGGAAGGGGATATTTATTCTTAATCGTCAACTTATTTAGTTCACGATAGTCGATGCACATCCTCATAGTACCACCTTTCTTCTTTACAAAGAGTACCGGAGCTCCCCATGGAGATACACTTGGTCTAATGAACCCTTTGTCTAGAAGTTCTTCAAGCTGCATCTTCAACTCTTGTATTCCTTTAGTGCCATTCGGTATGGAGCTTTGGACATAGGGGTAGCTCCAGGTATTAGATCTATCGTGAACTCCACTTGTCTATCGGGCAGAGTACCCGGTAGATCTTCGGGAAACACGTCAACATACTCTCGTACTATTGGCACATCACAATTAACTTTCTCTTGAGTGGATGTGTTGGTAAGACTGATAAGATATCCTTGATAGTCAGTCTTTCTCAACATGCTCTCTGGTTTTAAAGCTGAGATAATGCGAGGAAGTGCCTTAATCCTCGATCTATAAAATCTGAACTCCTCTTTTCCTGGTCTTCAAAAAATTACCTCTTTCTCAAAACATACTATCATGGATCGATTCTCACCCAACCAGTCTATACCTAAAATAATATCAAAATCTTTCATCTCTATAACATACAAGTCAGCCTCTAAAGTCAGTCCATCAAAATCTATCCGTACTCCTTTGGCTATCCTATCCGTATCAATAGTTCCACCTGATGGCATACTCACCTCTGGTACACTATCATTCTTCTGACATGAAGCATTAATCTTAGCTAGACATGCATTAGATATGAACGAATGTGTAGCACCGACATCAATCAGAACGTAAACAAGAATATTAGAGACGGATAAAATCCTGCAATCACGTCCGGATTTTTGGTAGCCTTATTGTGAGTCAAAGTAAACACCCTTGCTTTTCCCTTTTTCTCTTGTTCGGGTTTCTTAATTGATGGGCACGAAGAAGCCACATGGCCGGGTTGACCACACTTATAGCAGACATACTTTCCATACAGATGTTCTCCATTATAAAACTTGTTGCACTTAGGACATGGGATACATGATTGCTTGACTGACTCGCATGCATCTGCTTCTTAAACTATCCCGTATTCTTATTCTTGCCCTACCACTTCCTTTTTCCGAAGTCTTTACGTTGTCCCTGATTTACCAACTTCACCCCCGAGTAGGTCACTATTTTGAGCTTTCTTTACCACTGCTTGAAAAGTGGTGAGATCATATGAACTCACAATTTACCTGATCTCTAAGCACAGGCTCCTCTCGTAACGTTTTACCTTCATGAGCTCGGTACTTACAAGATGTGGGGCATATCGGAACAATTCCTCGAATTTGTTCTCATACTCAGAAAGTTCCATATCTTCCTGTACTAGTCTTAAGAATTCTGTCTCCTTGTGGTCTCGCATAGCTTATGGGAAAAACTTTTCTATTAGCTCCATTTTGAACTGATCCCACGTTAAGTTACGTTGTTCCTCCTCGGTGCGAGTGAGTGAAGCGGATTCCCACCAATGGCCTGCTCTCCCGATTAGCATAAACTTTGCACATAATACTTTTTAATTTTCTGGGCAAGAGATGTGCCGAAAAATCTTCTCGATAGTACGCAACCACTCATCAACTACTAGAGGGTCCTTTCCACCATCAAAGGTCGGTGGTCGGTATCTACGAAATTGTTCTACCATCAGAACAGGCGGTGTAGCCGAGTATGTTGGTGGCACCAATGGAGCTTGTGGAACTAGTGAATCTTGAGGTGCTAGAGGTGTAACCTGAGCAGCTTGAGGTGCTGGAGGTGTAACCTGGGCAGCCTGAGTTGCTGGAGGTGTAACCTGAGCAGCCAATGCCTGTCTCAACTCATCAATCTCCCTCCTTAACTCCCTAATTGTCCTCGCTTGTACCATATTTCTATATGCCAAAATAATTGCGATCTCATTTAAAGGAGTCAACGATATTTGTGTAATATAGGAAAAAGATTCGTAACTCAACATCCTTTATTATTGTCTTATACAAATCCTTCAGGAGACAAAAAAAAAAAAAAAAAAATTAGTAAAAGAGCTTCTGGTGCTATTCCACAGCATCATAAAAAAAATCCTACTAAATACCAACAACAATTAAACCTGATAAAAACTACTAAAATTCACTTATTCATCATTGCTATCATAATCAATAATCCAACCTCCATGAATCCTAGGTTTCTTAGAAAACTAAACATCATCATCTGAAATAGGTGGAGGTGCATGTTCACGAATGTGCATCTCAGTAGGTACACTATCGTCCTCGGGGATCTCAAGTAGGGCTAGCTCTCACCACTTAATTAGCTCTGCGTAGAAGGCCTCATAATCAATCTCTCGAGGTAAGGTAGGCATAGGTACCTCCCTTAAATAATTATAAATCGATTCGGCCACCTCTAGCCACTCTTCGAGACGGGTGGCTCGACGACCAGTGACCACATAGCCTAGTTGTCTCACTTCCCTCCATCTTACTAACATCTCCCAAATGTGTTGGCCTATGTTGTGCATTGGATTCCATCGATGCTCTTCATATTGCCTCAAGATCTCATATCGATGACGCATCAATGAACTCGTCTTCCTACAAGTTTTCTTAATCCGTACCATCTGAGTCATACCAATTATTCAAAATCCAATAAGTTGGTCTCTAATAAGTTTTAGTCAATTCTTGAGGACTTAAACAAACATTTAATCTTGTCACGTTCTCCAAAAAAATTACTTGGCACATTACTGATTATCTACAAAAAGTATTCAAATTATATGCTGATATTCATACATACATTTCAAATATAGCATCTCAAATAAACTTTCTCATAATAATCACATAGATGCAATCACATATATGAAACTTTCTTTACCTCAAATTTGTATGGCACAGCATGGTAGGCATAGTGCTCAGGATCCTCATTAGAAAAAAAAAATTTCGTTCTTTTTTAACCACTCATTTTTCTAAATTGGTAGTTTTGATCAAACGATCTACAATAACCCAAACTCACGAAAGACCAAATAAATTTCCATAATAATGTGCTTCTATTTTCATTTTGGAATAGGCAATGGTTGTAAAAGTCCTACTGAACTGACTTTACCCACTAAATATAAGATATTTGGATACAAAATCTGTTGTCTCTCTCTTCATGCCAATCCACCAATAATGATCTTCCAATTTATAATATATTTTAATACTACTTGGATGCATAGCATTAGCAGAATTGTGTGCCTCTTTCCAAAATCTTTGTTGAATTCTGGAATATTTGGAACACATAATCTATTACCCATAGTCAACACACCATCATCTCTAATCACATAATCTGTTCTTAACCCAGTACTAACTTCTGCTTTCAATGTTCTCAATGTTAGGTATTGACATTGAGTTTCTCTAGCCTTATCAATCAAAGAAGACCTCACTTGAAACTAAGCTAATACTATTCCTAAAGTAGTAAGTGATAATTGAGTATGGAACTTCTTGAACTCACGAATCAAAGAAGAATATACTGCACCAAATGGAGTGGAAGAACTAGTCTTTCTACTAAAATGATCTGCAAGTACATTAGCTTTCCTCGGATGGTAGTCAATCTTGCAATCATAATCCTTTATCAACTCTAGCCATTTTCTGTCTCAGATTCAGTTCATTCTGATCAAAGATGTAATACTTCAAACTTTTATGATCAGTAAATATTTGACATTTCTCACCATAAAGGTAGTGCCTCCAAATCATTAATGCCAACACCGTTGCAGCTAGCTTCAAATCATGAGTTGGGTGGTTTAACTCATTCTTCTTCAATTGTCTACAACATATGCTATAACTTTCCCATTCTACATTAGAAAACAACCCTATCATTGGTGTGAAGCATAGCGGTAAATCACAAATTCTTCACCCAGAGAAGAAGTTAAAATTTTCTTCAACTTTTGAAAACTCTTTTCATATTTTTCAGTCCACACAAATTTGGTTTTCTTTCGAGTCAAACTACTCAGAGGAAGAGTAATTTTGGAAAAATCCTCTACAAATCGATGATAATAACCTGTCAATCTAAGAAAACTCTATAGTTTTGTACATTAGTAAGGTATTTTCATTTCAATACTGCCTCAATTTTTTGAATCTATATAAAAGCCTTCTGCTGAGAAACATGACCCGGAAATAGAACTTTATCCAGCCAGAACTCATATTTGCTTAACTTAGCATGCATGTGCTTATCTCGCAAAGTCTGTAAAATAATCCTCAAGTGCTTAGCATTTTCATCATTGCTGTTAGAATAAACCAATATATCATCAATAAAAACGTCAAAAGTATGTTCAAATATGGGTGAAGCACCCTATTCATCAAATCCATAAATGCAGTTGGGACATTAGTCAACCTAAATTGCATCACTAGAAACCATAAATGGCCATAACGTGGCCTAAAAGCTTTTTTTTGCACATCAACCTTCCTAATTTTGAGTTGATGATATCCTGAATGTAAATCAATCTTTGAAAATAATGTAGCACCTCGAATTAGCTAATTTTGTTAACCTATCCACAATAATCCAAATACTATAATATCCTTTAGTTGTTTTGGGTAATTTCAACACAAAGTCCATTGTGATTCTTTCCAATTTCCACTCTGGGATAGGTAATGGTTGTAAGGTTCTTGCTGACCTTTGATGTTTGTTTTTATCTGTTGATATGTTAAACATTGTCCCACATATTCAGTTATATCACCTTTCATGTTTGGCCACCAATAATGTAACTTCAAATCTCCATACATTTTAGTAGCTCCTGGATGAACAGAATATGGTGTCGTGTGAGCTTCAAATAGAATATCACCTCAAATATTTTTTGCATCAGGTACATATAATCAGACCCAAAATCACAAGATACCATTTTCTAATATCCGAAAGTCTGACACTTTTTCATCATGTATATCCTTCCTTATCTTGGGACAATACTCATCCCTGTTGTTTTTGGTAGATTCTATCTAATAAAGTTGGCTAAAGTGTCAATGCTAAAAGTTTATCCTCTACCGATCCTTGCGGTATGATATTAATATCCATTTTTTGCAAGTCTTCAAATTCTGATCTTTGAGTCACAATCATGGTTGTAATGCTAGATACTAATTTTCTACTCAATGCATCTGCTACAACATTAGCCTTACCAAGGTAATTGATCACACAATCATAATCTTTTACTCTAGCCACCTTCGTTTTCTCATATTCAATTCCTTTTGTGTAAACAACTATTTCAAGCTTTTATGATCAATATAAATATCGCACCGTTCTCCACACAAATAATGTCTCCACATTTTAAGTGCAAATACAACTGCAGTAACTTCCAAGTCATGTGCAGGGCAATTCTTTTCGTACTCTTTTAGTTGTCTAGAAGCATTTTTTTTGCCATTTTGCATCAACACACATCCCAGACCATTCTTTGAAGCATCACTATAAACCTCAAAGCTTTTAGTACCAAATGGGATTGAAAGGATAGGGATTGAAATCAATCTTTTCTTCAATTCCTGAAAACTTTGCTCACAAGCATCTATCCATTCAAACTTAGTACTCTTTCTGGTTAATTTATTTTTGAAAATCCTTCCACAAGTCGACGATAATATCCAACTAAACCTATAAAGCTTCTAACCTTTGAAGGGTTTGTAGGTCATGGCCAACTATTAATAGCCTCTACTTTATTTGGATCCACTGATATGCCCTCACCTGATACTACATGTCCCAAAAATACAACTTTGTTTAATCAAAATTCACATTTCTTAAACTTGGCATATGATTGCTTGTCCTTTAAGATCTAAAAGACTATTCTCAAATATTTAGCATGTTCTTCTTTAGTACGAGAAAAAATAAGGACATCGTCAATAAATACAATAACAAACTTTTCAAGATAATCCTTAAATACTCAATTCATCAAGTCCATAAAAGCTGCAAGGGCATTTGTAAACCCAAATGGCATCACTAAAAACTCATAATGACCATATCTCGTACTAAATCTTGTCTTAGAAATATCATCTTCCTTTATCTTTAGTTGATGGTATCTAGATCGCAAATCAATATTTGAGAATATAGCTGCCCCCTAAAGTTGATCAAACAAATCATCAATCATTGGCAATGGGTATTCATTTTTAATTGTCACCTTATTTAACTCTTGATAATTGATACACAATCTCATTATACCGTTCTTCTTACAAACAAATAATATTGTTGCACCCCATGGTAAAAAGCTAGGTCTAATAAAACCTTTATCCAACAACTCTTGTAATTGTAACTTCAACTTTTTCAATGTAGTTGAGGCCATTCTATACGGAGCCTTTGGAATCGGAGATGTTTCTAGAATTAAATCAATCACAAATTCTATCTCGCGATCTGGTGGTACCCTAAGTAAATCATCAAGAAATACCTCTCTTTACTACATTACTAGACCCATCT